TCTTAAATATTGATAGTTTGCTGTACAACATGGACAATAATACGGCAGAACATTATAACTCCTTAGTATGTAAATTTGTTGGGGGTAAAAGAGTAAATTTTTCAAAGAGAATGTCCTACAAGACACGCTGTGAAGCAGCAGTAGTATCATATAATTCTGGACCGAATTATTATAGAGTAATGAACAATGCTTTGAAAATTTCCACTGTTTCACAATTTACAGAACAATATATATAAAAAAAAACAACAAATTAAAGAAATATATACAAAGTTATCAGCTGAAAGAAAATCCCGGCGTCAAGAGATGAGAAAGAAAATGGAAGTGTCTCTTCCGGACAAAGATTATGGTGCAACAGATTCTGTACCAGATATGACAGAAGAACAGTATGTGGCTGCCAAAAGTGAATTCTTAATAAAATTAAAGAAAACAAAAGAACAAATTGCTAATATTGAGATGAATACTAGAAATCAAACATCTTCACTTTTGTGGCTAGAAGAGCGTCAAATAAGATTAACCGCCTCAAATTTTGGCAAAATATGTAAATTAAGGCCCTCTACAAATAGTACCTCAACCATACAAAATTTGATATATTCAAAATTTTGTGGAAATGATTCAACTAATTATGGAAAAATTAGTGAACCTTTTGCCTTAGAAGCATTCGAAAAAACATATAATGTGAAAGTAAACAATTGCGGTTTATTCATAGATGAGATAAATTACTTTTTAGGGGCCACTCCAGATGGACTGGTAGGAGATGATGCAATAATAGAAATTAAATGCCCGGCTTCTATTAAAAATATCAGCCCACTAGAAGGAATAATAACAAAAAAAATTAATTTCGCTACAATAGAGAATGAAAAACTCAAATTAAAGAGAAATCATAACTATTATTTTCAAGTTCAGGGCCAGCTGCAAATAACAAAACGGAAAATTTGCTATTTTATTGTCTGGAGTTCCCAAGGATGTTTGATTGAGAAGGTACATAACAAAATATGATTTCATAAACGAAAATATTTTTTATATTTTTCTTACAAGGACGACAATAATAATTTATAATGTATTTTTAGATAACTAAGGATGAGGACTTTTGGCAACAAAAAATGTTACTAAAATTAAAATTTTTTTTTTTAATTGTTTACTTCCCGAGTTGGTGGATCCAAGAGTACCAAGGGAAATATCCAGAGAGGAGCTAAACTCAAAATCAACTTCGAATATGTAAAAAATAGATCTTGTTTATTTGATGCAAGTAACTTAATTATATTTATTTTAAAACATTCTTATTTAATTTGTACAGACTAACTTCAACAAAACAATTATATTTGACAAAACATATAATTTTTGTAAATTAATTAAATATAATTTTTCCAAATTAATGAGCAGATTTTTATTTAAATCTTATTCATTTCCGTATTATATTTTTTTGACCAATTAAAATATTTATTTTATATGATCTCAGATTTTTGGTAAAAATACGCCGTTTTTCTTTTAGACGCACAAGAAAAACCGGGTATATGCAGTATTTTAACGTGTTAAAAGTGGTATATAAAAATAAATACATTATTTAAAATATCGACCCGTCATCTACCTGCTAACCTTTCCGAAGCGCAAACACAATCAGGAAATCAAATGCATCTCTCAACTTTCCCACCAGCAAATATATTAGGCGGTGTTGCTTAGTCTGGCATGTACAAAGTCTGGGTGTGTATTACCTGAGTTTCAAACGCAGTTTGACGACGCGCTACTGTTTGCTCTTAAACCTTAAACCTTAAACCTTAAACCTTAAACCTTAAACCTTAAACCTTAAACCTTAAACCTTAAACCTTAAACCTTAAACCTTAAACCTTAAACCTTAAACCTTAAACCTTAAACCTTAAACCTTAAACCTTAAACATTAAACATTAAACCTTAAACCTTAAACCTTAAACCTTAAACCTTAAACCTTAAACCTTAAACCTTAAACCTTAAACCTTAAACCTTAAACCTTAAACCTTAAACCTTAAACCTTAAACCTTAAACCTTAAACCTTAAACCTTAAACCTTAAACCTTAAACCTTAAACCTTAAACCTTAAACCTTAAACCTTAAACCTTAAACCTTAAACCTTAAACCTTAAACCTTAAACCTTAAACCTTAAATCTTAAACGTTAAACCTTAAGATGAAATAAACATTAAACTAAAAATATATACAGTATGGTTCAAATGAAAGGAATAAATTCATTATAATGGAAGTAGTTGGTTTTTCGAAAAAATGCTCGGACAGGTCAATTTTGTTTACTCAAAGCGCAATTTTTTAAGTAGAATTCAATTTTCCCCCACTTCCCATTTTTGGGTAGTGACGTCATTAACAATTTTTTTAAATAGTAACCCCACTTTTTTCTCTTGATTTTGTTAGATCTTGCAATTTCCTACTCGCAAACATAATATTTGAAATATCTTATTTAACAATTTTTTTTGAATAAAAGTAATTTAAAGATCAGACACATAAATTTTATTTTATTTTGAGAACACAATAAATGAATAAAAGATAATTATTTGTAATTAAGTGCTTAAACAAAATAATAATAATATTATTATTAATAATAATAATAATAATAATAATAAAAAAGAATTTGTGAAATTGTCATTAAATTCTTTTTATTATTATTATTATTATTATTTTTTTAGATGAAGCACTTGATTACAAATAATCTTTTATTTATTTATTGTGTTTCAAAACAAAATAAAATTTATGTATCTGATCTTTAAATTACTTTTATTAAAAAAAAATTATTGTCAGATATTTCAAATATTATGTTTCCGAATAGAAAATTGCAAGATCTATCAAAATCAAGAAAAAAAAATTGGGATTACTATTTAAAAAAATTGTCAATGACGTCACTGCCCAAAAATGAGAAGTAGGGGAAAATTGAATTCTATTTAAAAAATTGCGCTTTGAGTAAACAAAATTGACCTGTCCGAGCATTTTTTCGAAAAACAAACTACTTCCATTATAATGAATTTATTCCTTTCATTTGAACCATACTGTATATTTAAAGTACTTTATTAAATAATTATTTAAAATTTCAGTACTTTGTCAAAGGACATCAATTTGATGGACGATTGTATTCAGAAGTTCGAGTACTATATACATCTTTGGCAGAAGTATCTATCAACAATGTGGTCAACTTAAGATGGATCAAAAGTCATGTCACATCGAACGGTAACCGTCTTGCTGATTCACTTGCCAAGAAGGCAGCCAATCAAATACTTTTTGGACCTGGCCCTTCTATTGGACTGACAACATCGGTAGTGACAGGCCTAATTAAGGAACATTCACTTGTGAAATTCAAGAAAAGATGGGATGAAACAAGAAGTTGCAGACTTGCCAGGGAGCTTTTAAGTTATCTTGACTACACTATAGCGAACAAATACCTAACTATGGCTAGACAGAATCTGAGCCTGATCACAGGCATTCTGATTAACATTACCAACTACGGAAGCATCTCCATATCAGGGGCTTGTCAGAATCCGCACTCTGCAGAGCATGCGAACAAGAAAATGAGACCATCGAGCATATCCTCTACGATTGCCCGAGGCTCTCATTTATTAGAAGATTTGTGTTCGGCGAGAATTGGCTAACACCGGCCGATATAAGAGAAGCACCTCTTGGCGACGTTGACAACTACATTAAATCTGTAGGCTGGCTCACAAACTAGGAGCTGCCTATCTATTTAGGAGAATGCACAATTGTAACAACCTGCATGCCTAAAGACCATTTGCAACTACTGATAGGTCTTTAGCTATTGTTGTTAATATACTATTAAGGGATTAGGGCAGCGTTGTCACCAGCCAAAGGGTCCTGAAGGAACATCCATTCGCCAGTGGCAAAAGAAAATAATAAAGAAAAAATAATAAAATACAAAAAAACATCCCTTAATAGCATATGTCGAGCGGTTCTTGGCAACTAGTTTTAGACTCTTTTAGTCCTAAGGGAATAGAAACGCCGAGGCTTCTCAAATGCTCGGAGTATTTTGCTGGTTTGGAAAGGGAGGAAAGATATTAATAATAAGTATTACAACATTAACAAATGTATATTAACAATAACTATAAAACTTGACAAATAGTCTTAAAAAAAATGAACAAAATTCTATTTAGGGAATAAAGCACTATAACTAATAGTAATAAAGATATGCATAAGATAAATATAATTCGGGACGAAAATGTAAAAATTGTCATTTATATGTAAATCACTCAATCAATTAATTATTAAACAAAAACACTGTAAAACTAAGTTAAAATATTTACCCATAATTCACATCGTACATAAAAACTATATTCTACACTTTACTTTACAATACAAAACCAGGGTTTCGCCCAAGGGGCGAAAGTTCTGGACCTTAGTCCGAATCCGACTGAGAGTTTTCCCCCAAGTGATCCTTTCTATATAAACCAAAATTTATGTGACTGTTAATTGTATTTAACAATGTCACGTTCAATGTAGATTAATAAATTGGTTTGTTTCATTGTGTCTTTTTAATTATTTAATTTAAACATTAAATACTTGTTTAGAATTTTTGGTAAATTCTTTAGATTTTTTCAATTAATAATAATGCCAATTATTACACAATGGGCCTAGTAAGGCCTAAGTGTCGTAGGTTAACCCACCCTCCACACGTTACAGATACAGAAACTACATTATATGAAAAATGTTAAAACAATTTTATCCAAAAGCCAAGTATTAAAATAGAAACTTGTGTAAATTGTGGAAAACATTTTTTGGATTCGGTTTATCCAGTCGGAGTCTCAGCACCTTGAGTCAATACTGAGAAACTCTTACTCTCTCCGCCTCAAATTACCGTTTATGTTTTAATAAATAATAAATAAATTTAACATGGTGCACGATAGAGACTGGCAAATAATCAAACATAGTTTAGTTATGTTAATTTAGTAATACATTAATTTTGATGTGTTATGATTAATTTAGAAAATATGAATTTATATAGTGTAACAATATTTACTCACCCTAAATTCATAGTAAATAAAAAATGGATAGAAAATACTGCTGATAAAAATGCTAGCTATAACAGCCGTTATTTGCACCGAAAAGGTCTTAACAATGCTTCTCTGTATTTTTACTAATCTATAATGAATATCCATAAAGATTTCAATTTTTTCAAGATAAATATTCTCTGCTTGCAGTCTAGTCTCTAAACATTCTGAAAAATAAAAAAAATGCTATTCAAATTTTAATTTTTTTAGTTAGATATTTTTAAGACATTCAATAATACGTGTATTTTTCTGCATAACTTCGAGCTATACAGGGTGTCCCGAAATTAGACGGTCATATTTTTGCAGCGTAATCTAATGCTAAAATAGGAGTAACAGTTCATATAAACATATAGGTCCGAAAACATTTCGTTTCCGATATACAAGGTGTTAAAAGTAAAGTCTTGATGACACACTTTTGTAAATATTTTCTAAACATTTAAAGATAACTAAGTAAAATTTGGTACAGATGCTAAACGTTTATGCTCTAGTTTTTGATTATATTCATAGGTGGGTAAATTAGGGGGTTGGTCTTTCAAATTTTGTAGTCAAAAATGTTAAAAAGCCCCCTCCCAATTTACACACCTATGAAGATGTTCAAAAACTGGGGCTCAGTTCATTAAATAGAGTGTAAAAAGTTTAGCATTTGTACCAAATTTCACTTAGTTATCTTTAAACGTTTAGAAAATATTTACAAAAATGTGTCATCAGAACTTCACTTAACACTCTGTATCTCGAAAACAAAACGTTTTCGTACCTATATTTATATAAACTTTTACTCCTATTTTAGAATGTGCTCAGGCGCCAGTTTCTTTTAGAATGGTTTGCTCCACTTTACCTATTCCAAACAAGTTTCAAAAAGGGCTACAGGTAGCTGCAGTGAAGAAAGAAAATTTCAGAGGGTCAACGATATTACGGTAGTTATGTAGTACCTGAAAAGAGATTTACCACAAGAGAATGAAATGCCAGGTTTCAGTTTCACACATATATTCATCTGCGTTAACTAACATATGTTACGGTTGTAAATTTGTTTGAAATAAATATTTTATTTACAAGCCCTCCCCAAGTTCTTGGATCTAACCGGGGAGTTTTAATATCGGAATGTACAAATAAGAAGTTCTTAGGAATCCTAACACAGCCTAACAGGAATGGGAAGGAACGGGAATCAAATCACTTATTACTTAATGAATGTTCAAGAAATTCATATAATTATCGGGAGTCGTTCAGCAGGCTATCAATAACACGGTCACTATGGGGATTCGTCACTCGTCGGTAACAGAAGAGAGAAGAGCAGCCCACGGTGGCCGGAAATCAAAGAGAACAATTATCAGTTGTAATCTAATTTATGCTTTTTCCCTGGGCGAGCTTGAAGACCGGTAATCTGGAGTGGGAGATACCATCACTACAGCCGACTTTTTACAATTTAAAAAATAAAAAAATGTCCTACCAGTACCTTGACAAATACAAGTAGATAATTGATACGAAATCGACTCTACAAATGCCCATTCGGATTTCGGCTAATATAGAAATATTTTAACCTCGCAATTGTTTAAAAAGGGGAATTCCTGGGAAACACAAATACGGGGGGATCTTCTACATGTCCTCAGGCGGGAATTAATTAAAATATACATTTTTAAAATTAATTAAGAATAAAATTAGTGACTTCGTCACATCACCCTCTCTCGGTCAAAGAAAACAAAGGCAAAACTTCGTTTTGGCTTTATTTTCCCACACTTGTAGGTCCAAATTAATCGGCATGTAAAAAAGTAAGGGGCGAGCTGGCCGGACGGCGCGGCGTGAGGGTTTGCAATCACAACTTCGAGAAAGCACTCCTCGTAGTCCACATCTCGAACAGAAAAGTATACCTCGGTTATTGCAGACTTGACGACGGTGTCCCTCAAGACCACAATTCCAGCAGATTCCTGGGTGTGCTTCAACAAAGGTAGAACTTTGTTTTCGGGTACGGTTGGGAGCGGAATGAGACCTTCTGGGGAGGTTAAACGGAGAGAGTGCGGGTGCCTGAAAATATAGATTTTCAGGGGGCGAGCGGGGGCGTTCTACAAACAAAAATACTCGAGTAGTTTGAGTTTGCTTGACTGGCATGGGGTTGCTTGAACGGATAACAGGTTGGGGCAGATCAGTCAGCCACTGTACGACGCGTAAAGCTGCTACTTCGGAGTCCAGACATCGTTCCAGATGCCTAGCCTGATGAGTGGTTGACGTCCTCTCGGACACGGGGTTTACGGCTCGAGGCAGAGTGTTTTTGGTCACAGTTGTTGGTATTTTCTCTCCTTTATCACAGCTTTCGCTGAGTTCAGGAGACACGGTTTCAATGCGGTTCAGCACAGCTGCTGAACAACTCAACGTACGCCCCTTTAAAACCGAGGGTGTCTTTGGAGTTACTATGCTGGTCGGACGGCTGGTATTGGTCACAACTTGTAACCTGCATCTCTCATCCTGTGGGTTGGAAGATGGGGGCCGGTTTCTCCCCGATCTCCAAGATCTCTCGCTTTGTTATGCAGAGAGCGGAGGGCGGTTTCTCCCCGATACGGTTTGAATCGACGGCGTGTACCAAGGCACTTACTGTAATTTTCTTCGGAGTTTTAGATCTTAATGGATGAGCTGACGGTGGCTCTAACGGTTGCTCTATGATCCCAATAGGGTAGCAAGGTATCGGCCGGGGAAGTGTTTGATATCCTCAACAGTTGTTCGGCTTCCAAATTTCATTGGTACGGAGTAGGAATCCTGGACTCGGATGGTACTACCATTAGCTAACCTTGCAGAAGCGGGTTCTGTCTTTTTGGGATGCTTCTGACTAGTAAGAAACTCAGCTAGGAAGTTTCCTAGGTAGGACCGGGATGCTCCAGTGTCCATAAGGGCTAAGAATGTATTTTCCAGGATTATCTCTATGTGTGGTCATGCGTCCTCTTCTATAAGCAGTACTGTCTCTCGGGTGGCGTTTCCCTGTGGGAAGACGGTTTGTTGAGAACCAACGGTGTTAGCCTCGAATCGCTCTTGATCCTGGGAGTCACGGTAGCTAGTACTGGCACTGGGATGGCATGCAGACTCTTGAGCCTGTTAACGGGGTGCAGGGTGCTTGGTTCTGGAGTTGCTTGGCACGGTCTCTAACTCTTTTCTTAACAGCTCACATGCCTTTACGGCTTGTCAAAAGGTAAATCACTAAAATATGTCTTGCGGATCTGCTGCTGTATTCGGGCAGAAGATTACGGTACAGCCTCTTTAGTTTCTGTTCACTGGTAAACGACCCATGTCTCCTCATGAGGGTCTGCAAGTCGGTAATATAGGAAGTGACGGGTTCGTTCCTACGATGCTAATTTCGGCTTCCAGGTCCAACTGATAGTACACCGAAAAAAAAAAGAATATACGGAAATCGGCCTCGAAGGCCTCCCAAGTTGGCCAATTATCTCGGTTGTTACGGAACCACAAGGCGGGTTCTCCGTTTAACAGTTCGGGGATGAGTCATTTACAATATAAAGTGATCACAGACCACTTGAGATGATCAAGCTAAAAAATCTGACAGCAGCACCACCAAGACTGCAGCGACTTCTTTTAAGACTCCAAAACTATGATGTAACTATAAAATATAGACCTGGAAAAGAGATGATACTAGCTGACAGCTTATCAAGATTACCTCTCGATCACTGCGAACACTTAAACCTAGATATCCAAGTTAACTATGTCCAGTTTAGCCAAAGCAAACTAGAAGAATTACGAAGAAGCACGCGAAACGACTATACGCTTTCATCGTTATTAAACACAATACTTACCGGTTGACCAGAAGCAAGAAAGGATTTACCAGTGGACCTAAGGCCTTACTGGTCGTTTAGGGACGAGTTAACTATTGATGATGGACTTATTCTAAAAGGAGAAAGAGTGATAATACCATCACCCCTTAGAGACACAATGTTAAATATTTTACACGAAGGACACATGGGAATAGAAAACACAAAATTAAAAGCAAGAGAATGCATTTACTGGATAGGAATTGGAGATGACATAGAAGAAATGGTTAAAAAGTGTGAAACTTGTGCCAAATACCAAAACTCGAATGCGAAAGAGACCCTAATCCCACATGACATACCTCCGTTTCCATGGAAAACCTTAGGAGCTGATTTTTTTTCTTTAATGGAGACACGTACTTACTGGTTGCAGACTACTACTCCAAATACCCATTTCTGAGGAAGATGCCAACTCAATGTACAAGCAACGCACTTATCACATCACTCAAACAATTCTTCTCTGAGAACGGAATCCCAGATGTTATCATTAGTGATAACGGACCACAATTTGCGTCAGAAGAATATAGAAAATTCTGTTTAGATTGGGGTATTAAGTCTACAACAACTTCTCCTCATTTCCCGAAAGCAAATGGGTTCCTTGAGAGAACAGTTCAGACCATAAAGAACATTCTTAAAAAAATCAGTGGAGAGCAAACAGGATATATATACATGGCCTTACTTAATTGGAGGAGCACCCCAGTGAGCAGTAACATACCAAGTCCAGCAGAGCTGTTATACAATCGGACCATTAGAACTAAGCTGCCAAAACACACAGCCAACAAATACCCGGACAGAGATACCATCAGAGACACAGACGAAAAAGGCAGGAGAAAATGGAGGAATACCATAATAAACATGCAAATGATTTATTGCCTCTCCAAGACAGACAAGCAGTAAGAGTTCAAGACCAACATACTAAATTATGGCATCCAGCAACAGTAGTAGGACAAGGAGAGGAACCCCGAACGTACATCATTCAAACACCAAATGGAAGGACCCTAAGAAGGAATAGAATCCATCTAAAAGATATGCAACCCAACCATGACAAACACGCACATTTCAAATTACCAGTTCAAGAAACACGAAATGAAGAGATGCCTAGATTTTCAAAAGAACCAGCTCAATTGTGTGAAGAAACTACTATGACACGACGCAGCTCAATGAAGATAGTAAGACAACGAGACGTGATCCAACTTCATTACAATCACGTGTCTAAACTGAACAAATGACCAGATCAGGAAGGACAGTGAGAAGGCCAAATAAACTAGACTGTAAGGTCAAACCCTTTTTGTATTTTTTATCACTCATTAT